ATTGAACGAGGATTATTGAGTTCAATGATCGAATCTGTTAATCCTAAATTAACAATGTTCATTCCAATCTCGAAATTGGGATCAATTTCCTCAGCCATGAGGTCGTTCCAATTGGTCACCTCATTAACACACAAAAGATCATCCAAATAATCTTTTTCAGGGTCGATTACTTTTCGATGAGTCCATTCATTCATTCGCGAAAAACAATCGGCGGGATGAAGTTTTCCTTCTTTGTAAAGGACTTTGTATTTGAAACTACTCAAAATTATAGCCCATCGTTTCAAACGATTATTTTTGAATTTCACCAACGGCATTTGACACAATGCATGGTGATCGGTCTCGATCACAAATTCTTTATCTTCAAGATAATGGTGAAATTTGCGCACAGCAACAAGAACAGCGAATAATTCCTTCTCTGAAGTCGAATAAGGAATTTGGTACTTTAAAAGTTTTTGCGAGAAAAAACTAATTGGTTTCCAATGAACAATTTTATCAATTGGCACTTCTTTTAGGTTTTCATAACCTTTCGGAATTGTTTGTTTCTCATCTTCTTGAAGAAGAATTCCACCCACTGCTTTATCAGAAGCATCCACTGATATTTTTCTCCGCAATTCAGGGTTAAAATGAACCAATTGAGTAGTCGAAATCAACGAGTTTCGTAACTTGTCCAGACTAACTTTATCTTCGTCAGTCAATTTGAATCGACGTTCTTTGTTTATTAGCATGTATAAAGGGGCAGCCAATTGTGAATAATTAGGGATGTACCTTGAAAAATAATTGAAACATCCTAATTGACTTTGCAATTCTTTTAAGGTCTTTGGATAAGGTAAGTTCTTGAGAACTTCGACCTTATCAGGATCAGGTTGAATACCAATTCCATTCACAATGTGACCTAACAGAAGCAATTCTGTAAATCCGAATTTACATTTTTCTAGTCGAACCTTGAGGTTATACTGAAGAAACCGTTTTAAAACTGTTTTTGTATTTTCAATCAACTCGTTCCAATTACGTCCTAAAACAGGGACATCGTCAAAATAACCCAAACATTGACGATACTGTAGACCTTCAAGGACTTTATTTACCAATTTTTGAAAAATAAATGGAGCTCCTTTTAGCCCCATTGGCAATCTTAAGTATTCGAATTTTCCATCAGGAGTTATGAAAACTGTTTTATATCTTTCTTCAGGGGTATTTCGATCTGATGGTATCCTTGACATAGATCGAACATGTTAAAGAACTGAGTTCCTCTCACTGCCTCGAGGCAATCTTCTATCCTTGGCATGGGATAACTTGGAACTTTTGTTAGATGATTTAAACAACGAAAATCACAAACCAAACGATAACTTTTTCCGTTCTTCGTTGTTCGTTCAACAAGCAAAGCGGGACTTCCACCATCAGCTTCAGATTCTTTAACGATTCCAGCTTTGATTAAAGCATCAATTAAATCTTGGAAGATTTGTCTCTTCTCTGGTGAACATGGATACGGTTTTTGTGATGGTACAACATTGTCACCGATATCAATTTTTACCTTACAAACATCATGAGGGACAAGACCCAAGTCATGTCGATGTTTAGAAAATACGGATTCATATTCCATGAACAATTTTCGTAATTCCGCTTTTTTGTCATCAGGTAAATCAGGATTAATAGCCTTTTCTAACTTTTCCTCAAAAGTTAATTCATCAGCTTCAAGGCTTGATACAGCGTAAAGTTTATCAACTTCATTTGCTTTAACAAAGTTACTTTCATTTGGCATAACACAAACTTTACAAATTGATTTTACCTTTTCCTCTTTTTCTTCTTTTCGAATTGACATTATCCTCTGGTTCATCAGGATAATTGAGAATTAATTGAGTTTCATTAGGTCTACTACACCTAATATCAAAATCAGGTAAACACGAAATTCCATCATCTTCATCACGAACAGAAATTCTGAAAGTTTCACCATCAGACTCGAGTCTCATCAAGAAAGTATGGAAAAATGAATTTCCAAGCAGTAGAATTGGTTCAAAATCTTTAACCAATAGAACACGAACAACTCGAGCTTCTTTAAAGTTTTTATGCTTGATGATGATGTATGTGTAACCAACAGCATGAAGATAAACATTAGAAACAATTCCTTTAAGGACTTTATCAGTTTCCAAAATATCAGCTCCCATTTTTTGTGCGAGTTCGAGATCCATTACATTGGCACAAGCACCAGTATCCAGAAGGATATTGCCTTCAGCGACCGTTTTCTTATCAGCGTCATGAAGACGAGCTGATACATATGGCATCTCACTCTGAGAACTATTATTCAATTGAGTAATTTTCGAAACTTCCACCAAAGAATACAACAACTTAATGTTTTTAGTACTTTTCTCATCATCTTTGGGATTTGTTTTCTTTTCAGTTTCCGAATGTTTCGAAACATTTTCAGGATTTTGGTACAATTTCTCGATAAATGACCATTTCCATTGCATTTCCAACATTTCAATCGACTTTTCCATTCGTCGTTTCTTTTACCATCAGAACCTTGTTGAGGATTACCATTCCCCTTGTACTTTGAATTATGAGTCTTAAAGTTTCGAGACTGATCTCTTCTCTCATAATAGTAAAGGTTCAAAATATCGGTCAAATCATTCATTGATTTATTTGCCCTCTGATGAAATATATCTTTCTTTACATCAGGAGGTACCCTTTCCAACATCATCACGATAAGGGTTTCATCAGAAACTTTTCCTTGACTCTTGAAAATCAGATCCTTAAGATTTGTTATAAACTCGGCTGGAGTTTTATCAAACTTATATCTTAAGTTCATCAGCTCATGAAGAGCAGCGGACTTTGTTGCTGGTCCCATTAGCTTTTCATAAAGAGCTTTGAGATATTCCTTGTAATCTCGTATATCAGGGTCAATAGTTTCAGCAATGTGTAAGAGATCATGCGAGAATCCCTTTTTAAGACAACGAAGTCTTGTGTCATCATCGACACGTTCCAGAGCTAACCTTCTTTCAGCTCTCATCACCCACTCGTATGGGTCATCAGATTTCTCAAAATCTTTTATCTTTGGGTCAGGTATATACTGACCAGTGTTAACAACTTGGGTGACTGGTGTATTTTCAATCCTTCGAGGGATTACAACAGGTTGATCCACCACCGTAGAAATATCTTCCTCTACGTCTCGTAGTTCCAGAATCAGCCTTTCGAGTAAATGACGAGTACCCACACCAATAGGTATAGTCTTTATCTCTTCAGGAGTTACCGCTAAAATAGCCTCCTCAGTTTTACCAACTAGTCCCAAAATTTGTTGGATTTCAGTTTCACTAAATTTCATAATTCTCATCCTCCGGATCCATGAAGGAACCTCACATTCTAATGCTTCTTGAAGAAGTTGCTTGGGTATTTCACGATCACTAAGCTCCACGTTTTGCACCAAATAGTTAGTCTTTAACACCTCAACCATTCTCTTGGTCACAAAACTCTTAACAGGAACAGACACACAACACCTATTAAGAAACTCAGTAGCTTCTTCATCAGTAACCGAATTCACAATACGATCAGCCATTCTCTCAGAAGAACCAGAATTTTCACCAACGACTAAAGTATACACAGTTTCACACTGAGACGAAATCAATCCTGCCTGGGTCGCCACTTTTGTAGGGATTAATTTGGAAAGTTTCCTAACTTCTCTTCAGAAGACACGATTGCCTACAACAATCTAAGTTCGTAGGATTGATAACTTCACAGTTTTGAGACTGAATATTCTTTAACAATTAAAGTTTATTAATTAAACTAAAACACAATGAAATTTATAATGAAACATAAAAAGTTAATCAAGTTAACACTTCGAGGTTAAAAATAACACTAACTAAAAGATTGAATCTTTTCCGTTAACTAGAGATTAAACATAAGATATCATAAGATAATGATGATAATCAAAAAGATACAAAAATGATTAAATAAGGGGAAGATTACAAATAAAAGCCAAATGGCTAGACTAAGCGTCCATTAAACAAAAGAGATTAAGACAAGATTAATCATTAGATTAAATAAGCTTCGAGGCTTAATCATAGGCTAATCAATTATTAAAAGAAAACAAATTAATCAAAATTAAAATAAGAAAAGAGAAACATTAAAGTGTTTTCAGGAAAATTCTGAAAATCTCAAAATTTATCCCTCACATATATTGTAAATAGCGTCTGAACAAACGGTTTTGTTATTGTTACTTGTTAGTATTTACAAACTCACATCATCTCATTAAAAGCTATTATGATTACTTTTCGTAAGAATATATCTCAATTTCACTTACCATATTCTATTTATTATTTCTATCAGATAAGAGTTTCAAGACTATCGAGTTTATTTCTCAAAAGCTATTCATTGAATTTTCGATCTTATAATATTTCGCCATTCTTGTAAAATGTGCGAAATCATAGCGTATGTATGTTTGGTTTGTTAGATTGATCATTAAGAACTTTTCCGAATTATTGCTTTTAGTAATAAAACTTATCCCTTTTGAGCCAAGCAAATGCTAGAAGATCAGAAGGAAGATTAGCATCCTCATTCTACTTTCGATTTGATAACCGCGTTTCAGTAAATGAAGAGAATGTGATTTATTCCTTTTAATCAATCATGTCTGTCTACCTGCATTGTGAAGGATTTCATTCATAGAATGAAAGTTATCTTTGGACCTGATTTTCACCTTCGTATCAAACAATTGGCAAAAATGTAAACTTTAATCAAATTGGAATCAAAAAATTAGAGCACAATCCCAGTGTACAAAACTTAACGTTTAGTTCAGTGCCCGACGAAACAAATGGATGTGCAATTAAATGAGAAAACCAATACAAAGTTACATTAAATTACAAGTTGAAATTAATTTAATATCAATTATTAGATTGAACACAATGAACAACATGATAATATTTACAGGTGAATCAAGTAATCGAAATGTGTACTTAAAGTTATTACAATTAAATATAGAAAGATAAAATATTCAATTTAAGTTATTAATCTCATCAAACCAGAATTCAAATATTAAAATGCTTTTAAAATGTATCAATCTGTTGGATAAATTTTGTTAAATTAGTTTATAAATTGATCAATTGTTTACTTCTGCACAAGGCTGAATGTTTCCATTTAATATTCAATCGTTTAATCGAAAGCTAAATGGTCAACAATTATTTGGATTCAGTAGTATTATTGAGTTTCATTCATTCATTTTTTTCGAGCAGAAGTTACAAGAGGCCTCAATAGATGGCACTGAGTTTACTGTGTAATTTACTTTCTTTAGTTGTTTGATTATTTAAATCGGTCAAAAATTACATTGAATCCTTTTCACAATTAATCTAATTGAATTACATTCTTCTTAACCATTTGGTGTGTATAAAATTATATATTGAAAATCATTCTCTTATTTGTCTCTCTTTCTTTTTAATTTCTATGTATAGAATGTATTTGAATTTGATTGAGCGCCAAAAAACTCTTTGGACTCTGGAGATGAAGATGAAGGTAATTGTTGAACTTTAAGTGATCCACTTTGATCGTCGACCTCATTGGTACTTGAATTGATGGCGAGCATTAATAGTAAAGCTTTTCCATGTCCGCTCAGTCTGATAATCAGAGAAATATTACAAAGTTAAGAAATTAATTGTTTGGTGTAACATAATCCAATCAAGAAATGATTAACTCACCTTTAAGATGAACTTGAGAAATGGTAAAGCATCTTGAGGTTGATCCTCCTTGTACAATAGTAATGCCATATTGAATAAAGCCTCAGTGAAATTTGGTTTCAACTAAAGGGGAAAATAAAACAACAATCAATTGATTATTTGGACTAGATGGAAAATTGTTTCTTTATTGTTAATTAACGATCAATTGGTTGTATGTGAATCGAATCACATGCTACATTCACTTTGATTGTCCACTTCGTAGTGACCTTTTTCATTAACCTTCTTTACCTTTCTAAATATTGATAGAATCAATAGTTTAGTGGACAAAGATAATGGTCAATTGTTGAGTGAAAATTTTCAATAGGATAAGTGGTCAGTTTTATGTTATCATAATTTTACATTCTATATTTACCTCGATCGCTTTGGCGAAATGTTTTCTTGCAGTGGCCATTGATCCTGACCTGATGGACAGCATTCCCAGGTCAAAGTAAACGGTTTCATCTGCTTTACCCATTGAGACAAGAGTCTCGAGTCTTTCAATTGCAATTGTTAAATAGTCACCAATTAATTCATTATCTTTAATTATTCGAGCTGATGTTGATAAAGTTTCCTGTCAAAGATGAGAGGATGAATAGGAGATGATGATAAAAGATGAAGAGACAAAAGATAAGTGTTGATATAAAGATACTTGAAAAAATGCTAGGCAGCCAAATGATAATAATCAGGAGGTTGGAAAAGTTATGATAATAAAGACAAAGTTCAATGAGATGAAAGTTTCAAGGTGAAAAATATGATCACTTACTTGATGATAAGGATCAATTTTAAGAATTTGATCAAATAAATTGAGAGCATTTTCAAGGTTTCCATTGTTATTGAATAATATCGCCATCTAGATGGATGGAAAGTAAATAATAAAATTGATTCCGAATGATTAATTAATCGGTGAATTGTAATCCACAAAGTGTATCATTATCATCAAAGTAATTTAAACCAATATATTATTTAACAAATTGGAGATATGGAGATAAATTGTTATCATGATAATTTTGATTTGATTGATTGCACATTTACACGGATCAAAATGGTTATGATAAATGCTTAAAGTTCAATAGATTAGCATGATAAGATTTTGACTTTCAACTCGAGGAGATATTAATAAATGAATAAAGGTAATGATATATATAGATATTCATGAATATATTTTATGAATTATGATCAGTTGACTTTTTACTGAGTTCAATAATTTAGCCAGAGGGTTTATACAATTGAGAAGAAAGGTAAAAGTTTATCATTATCATTGGAAACTATTGGGTTAAAGTGACTTGAGTAAGATGCTGCTTTTTGGAAATAGACGACAAAAGTAAACGAAGAAAGATAGAGAAAAGGACGACAGATAAATAGACGGATAGAGGAAGACAAAGATTCTCTGTGATTCTTGTTATTGAATTGCAATCACTTCTGAATCTTATCTTCTGAACGATTCTGTCTGAATGGAAAGAAAGATAATGGAAAAATCTGAAAGAAGGAAAAAGTTACCTGGATAAATATGCAAATAACTCTTCAGCTAAGAAACTCCAATTCTCTGGGTAACCTTTAATCTAATAGACAGTTTCATGGTTCAAGAAAGAAAGAAAGAAGAAAGAAAGAAAGAAGAAAGAAAGAAAGAAAGAAAGAAAGAGAGAAGGAGGTTTGAGTAAGAGATGAGAGTTAATAAAGAAGTTCATTGTATTCATATGAGCGAAATTTTCGAGCGAATCAATTGGAATCCAAAGTTAATTGTATTTTCTAGAATGGATTAAATAAAAAAGTAAAAAATGTTTAAATTTACATGGAAACAGCAATCAAGTTCATGATATGTTCCATATATACTTGTATTTTATTCTGATTCATATTGAGTCTTTGGTGGCTTAGGTGATCAAGTTTCTCTCAATGTTTATATCACCAGTAATTAAATTTGATTGCTTCATTAGCTATCAGGGTGAAATGTGTATCTGATTATCATTGGTTAGCTTTACATTGCTACTCTAGATTTCAATTCATCCTGATTAACTTGATTGTCTATAAGGCTAATCAGCTCATATTAAATTATTTTACTGAATTTAGAATCAAAATTTCTATGAATTAATGAGTCTATTGATTATTTCCAGTACTAACCACAACCAATAACCTTTCCTTAAATTTGATTAATAGTAATCAGAATAACTTTTCAGACTAAATTTTCAATTCATATGGTTAGTAATCAATATAAGTAAGTAAAAAAAAAGAATAAAAATTTTTTCATATTATTCATGATAATTCAGTTTCGTTACATCCTCCTGAGAAAAGGTGAGATGATGAGAAGAAAAAAAAGAACAGAAAAGAAAAGAAAAGGAGAGAAAAAAATTAGATTCTCTTCTTGAATATATTCCATTCCCACCAAATACCCTCTTTTCCACATTAACCCCCTGATCTCTTTCTCTCCCTCTCCATGCATTCATTAAATTCAATTGTAAAATTGATGTAACTTAATTAAGAATGAGGTTACCACTTTTTTCCAGGTCTACAAAGAATTCACTCTGAAAATGATAATAAAACTGCTAAACTTGTATTACTTTCGATTCAATTGAATTCAGAAAAGAGATTCAAATTTTCATGGTAACCAGAATATCGAGGAACAGGAAAATACAGACGAAAAACAATATTATCATTTCTCATTCGATTTTCATTCTCATTCTCATCAGAATTTGAATTTTTAATGAAATAATTTCCTCTAAATGATGATAATTTTCACAATTAAATTAAAAAAAGAAAGAAAAATTCTCCCTGCTTTCATGATAAGACTCAAAATTGTGCTGAAAATGAATTTAACGACCCAACTAACCAGAGATTCACAAGTAAAATGTAAATTTCATTTTGATTAATAATATAATCTCATGATTTAATAGATACAATTGATGAGAAAGAATCATTTTCATGATAATTGTAAAAAAATCCCATCAAATTGAATAAGATGAAATTTTATTCCTAATAAATTATAGTGATAATGATCATGATGATATTCATTGGTTGTTCATGAGTTTATCTGTCAGATAGTTTTGTGATTTTATTGCATTTCTTGCAAACAAATAACTATGGATAATGTTATCATCACCATGATTAGCATGAATCAGCAAAGGTATTATCATGATTATCACCTGAAAATTGAATGAGATCAATTGAAGCCTGAAAATTATGATCTTTTCGTGCCAAGAATTGATTCATTCTCTATTCTCAGATAATATCTCATGATAAATACTGTTACCATTATACTGATACTATCATGATGGCAGACAAAAATGTCACTCATCATTCCCAAGTGATAGAAATGTATAAAATATCATTTGAATACAGAACTTTTTTTTCACCTTCAATGTTGACAACAGAAGAAAAAATCATCATCATCATGAGCTTATGCAATTGAATATTGGATATTGTCATTGTCAGAATAATATCATGATGAAGGGAAGGGGGAAATACGACCTGATTTGTTTCCTATTCCATTGGAACATTGAACATTATTCTGACTTATCGAACTGAAGACTCATGAGAGAGAAGGTGATTATTTAGAAAATTATTACATATCAATAGTGACGATTAACGAAATGGAAAATTGCAACTAATATCCAAAAAACTTTCTATTTCCATTTACATGATTACAACAATTTTCACCAACGAAAAGCCTAAAAGTGAAAATTTTTCCCTGAATCTCTGAATCACTGAACAATTTGACATGATAAAACATGAACATGATCAACTTACTATTGATAATAATTCAAAGAAAAATACTTATTAAAGATCTGTTATCATTATCAGATGTGTCTCTCATTTTATCATCATGATAATGATCATCATCATGTTTGAATAGTTAAAATTTGCAAATGATAACATTTTAATATACGATTTTTTCTAGGAGAAGGAAAAAGTTGCTATTCAATTCCCATGTGAAATTATTCCCAAACTTTGGCTTCATCTTTCATCATCATCATCGTCGTCTAATGTTGTAATTTCATTTCATTCATGTCGCTTTGACTTCCTCATTTTCCACCCACTTTTCATCATCATCTTCATCTCTGTCTCTTCAAATGTAAATTAAACTTGATACATGATATATTAGGTTGACAGTTACCAAGAGACAGTTTTTCAGTTGAAACTTTTTTCTTACACCTTCAAAAGTAATAATATTATTATCATCACATGAACATATGAGTTACATGTAAATGACAATTTATTTATCATCATTATTGTTATCATTAGAAATCTCAAAATTTATGATATTTCATTTGTCTCATGGTTATTTCATAAAGATTATCACATGGTAATATTTTCCCTTTTCCAGGAAAAATGTTTAGGTTAATTGTGAATTTGGGTTCAATTGTTTCAACTTGAATTTTGATCTCATTTGATTTTATCAACGAGATAAACAGGAAACTTTTGCCCCTTTTGCTGAGAAATTAATTGCTTGGTTAATTGTGATTGTGATCTTGATGATTGTGCAAAGTTAATTAGGTTGGTTGATTAGAGTTTGTATTATTATGTTGCTGTTGTTGTTTGCATAATGAATGTAGAAATGATGAGAATGATGATGATGATGATGAATAATTGGAAAGGAAGGAAGGAAATGGAAATGAAAAAGTTTCTACTCTCTTCTATTCACAATTATGTTTAACTTTGGATGTTGATTGTTGATTGTAATAGATAAAGATAATACAATTGACCAAATGCAAAATTATTGTCCAAATATTGTATAAAAGGAGGAGGATGAGGAGGTGATGAGGTGGATGCAGGAAGAAGGATGAAAAAGAGGAGTGGGTATGAGTGAAAATCAAATGATGTTTATATAAATTACACAGTTGAATAGATAATAATCATCGAATCATAATAAGGTGTAGCAATATTTACTTTGATTGTCAACCCAAAGTGAGAGTTAAATATCATATTATGATCTGTCTTTCCCCATCCTCATCATGATGATCATCATCAGCTTAAGCTGTTTTTTTCTTCTTCTTCTTTTTCAGTGTATGATGATGAAAGATGAGCTGAGTGAATGTAAGAGATTCAAGTCAGAGCGTTTAAATGCATTTTCATGTGAATAATATGTAATCGACTGTTAATAAGCCATGACGAGCCGTGAAAAGATGATGAGACAGATGAGAATGAGACAAGTACAGATGATGAAAGAAATCATAATGATGAGGAAAAGGAGGAAGAGGATTGATGAAGTTTTTTTTTGTTCACCATCAGGCTGATTATGCATCACTTGGGTGATGGTTGCTTTTGATACTTGATTCGATATACACAATGTAAAATAAGAAACAAAAAAGTGACAAAGATGAGAAGCGAGTGAGAAGGAGGAAACTGAGAAACCGAAGGGAAAAGTTTGAGATGATGATAATGGATGATGATGATGATGCGGGAGAACTGAGGAAAAGTGATAATGATGAGAGGGAAAGATAAAGGACCAATTGATAAGGTAAGTGAGGAAAAGTCAGAGAGGGAGAGAGACGAGGATGATAAAAGGATGAGTGAGTAAACGTGGAAGAGAATAGACCAAATGATTAGATTAATCTTAGGAAGATAATCGTGAGGGCAATAGTAATTTTCTTATTCTGTAAACACAACGGAAGAAGGGAAAAAAGATGCGGTTCCATAGACTCAATCAGTAAATTGCTTCTTCTACTAAATTATTGGTAATATTATCCAATAGTCTAATCATCATCATCTTTTTCATTACAATTTAACTTTCGGTTATAAAGAAGAGTGATCTCTTCTCATCTTCTTCTTCCTGTATCCTGATGATAAAACGTGTGTGTCTGTCCATCGACAGGTCAGCAACATCCCTTGTGATCTTTATTTATTGATATGAGAATAGTCAATAATATCATTCATGAATTGACTTTATTAAGGTGAGGTGGGTAGATGAGAGGTGGGAGTGCAATTGACATGGGTTCATGTTCAGTTGTCATGATTATTGTCATAAATGAAATAACGGTAAATATAATTCAATTTTTCCGTTTAACTCTCAATGTATCAAATGTTAGCTAAATAAGATACAATTTCCAAGTGAATACAATTTGATTAGATTAATGACCAGCAATTAAGGGCAAGATTTTAAGACAATTAATTATTATCAAAATGAAAACTTTTGAATAATTTCTAATAGAATCTCGATAATGAAATAATCATAATGGTAGAATTGATTATCTTCACTATTTACTTGCTTAGAAATTTTTGCTATCAATCAATTACCATTAAGATAAATGGAGTTTCATTTAATACAATTCAGGTTGATTAAGCTCATCAATCTAATTTTGAATTAGTGATAATTAAAATTTTAACAACATTTACACCCAAGTAATTAATTCATTTGCAGCTAAGAAAATTGTTGTTGCATGAGATCATGAAATGATTCTTTGTCCATGAAATAATGGATGAGGATGAAAACTTTATTTTCTCATTATTTTATAAAATCTAAATTCTTAATAATATCAAAATTTTGAGAAGAAAATTTTATGATAATTTAACTTTGAAATAATAAGGAGACTTATTTATAAGAAATTATCATGATGATGATACATGATGTAAAAGATAAACTCAGAGGAAGCAAAGAGATGATAACGAGAGAGAGAGAGAGAGAGAGAGAGATTCAACAATGAAAGTGATAGAAGTCAATAAGATACAATGAAGATTTTGTGATAACAAATTAAGATGATGAAGAGTGCGGAAGACGAGAACGAGAGATGAGAATGGAAATGTATGATAAAGAAAAATGGACAATGGGATAAGATAAGCTGAAGAAAAATTCTGATGATTATGAGGAAGAAAGTTTTATCTTCTAAGATTTGCTTCGCTATTCAATTCTAGCATTATCTTCTGATGCTATTGTGTTATTATAAACGGAAATGATTTGGACAGGGAAGTGGTGAGATGTTCAAGAGGGTGATGAGCGAGAGAGACAGAGGATCGAGAAAATCTTTGCATGAATGAAAAGAATTGAGAAAAAAATAGCAAAGAGGAAGTGGAAATACTAGAAAGATAATGGTACAACTACTGAAAAGAGAAAGAGAAAGCGAAAGAGATTAAGGAAGATGAAGGATTATCTCAATAGTTGATGAGGATGATAAACTTTTCCGAAACAAAGAAACAAAGTCAAACAGTGATAATGATGATAATGATGATGATGATGATAAGAGTGATAAACAATAGGACTTACATTGTACAAAATATTTGGATCCGTTTGCTTATTGTTTAAGGTAAATTGAGATAAAATTGTTTCATCATTGAATTGATTACCATTGATGGTGGTTGCGTCATTATCGTTATCATTATGATTTTTGTTATTATTTACAGAACCAGCATTGATCATGGATTGAATCCATGTTGAATATGTTGCTGAATAATCTGGTCTCAGGGAGGCGATAGTTAAAAACATCCGATTGGCCTCATCAAGACGAGATTCATCTCGACTTATAAGTGAGGCATAATTAAGCAAACCCTGTAAATGATTTAATGTAATTGATGAAGATAAGTTGTTATCAGTTGTAATTGTTGTTGTTGTTTTTGATTCTTTCAAATTATCATCTTGATGATGACCATTAACAGCATCATTATAGTCTATCAGGTATAATCATTATGGTCAGTATTGGTCCCTTGGTTGACCAGTCTCTCATAAACAGGAAAGATAACCTTCCAATTATTTTACTTTGATCAGTATTTTGTTGCTCAATAGGTTTATCAGCAATTAAGGAAGATACTGATGATGATGGAGTTGGCAGTAATGGCGCTGAAGATGAGGTCAACAGTGAAGATAATGAGTGAAAGTGATGACCTTGAAGAAAGTGATGCAAGGTATGAATTTGCTGACAACTTATCCACAGGTAAGGGATCAATATTTTCAGAAATATCATTTGAATTTTTGAGAGGTGATGTTGACCTGCTTGATTTTGGTATCAAATCCAACGCTTTACGGTAAAACATTTCCGCTTCCGGTAAACGTCCGATTTTGGTCAATGCTTTACCTAAATTCAGGTAGCCTCGAACATCATCTGGCTCAATTGTAACTGATTTCTCATAGTAACTTAAAGCCAAAGCAAGATTACCTTGATCCTCGTATAATCTGCCAACATTGTTCAATAGTTTCACATTACCTGGATTAACATTCAACCCGGAAGTAAATAATGATAACTCATTTTTCCTGATGAAGAGAAAAGAAAATCAAAAATCAATTTGAAAATCAATGACAAGATTCAATCAATAATAGCAAAATAGTTTATCAATTTTCCATGATAATTGTAGTTAATTGTTGTCTCAATCAATTGAGAATACATCAAACTATTAATGCAGTAATGATGATCAATTCCCATAGGTAGCATATACTGAATCAAATTGATATTGATTGGAATTAGTAATATTAATATGAAAGTCAGCATGAAAATGATTATCATGATTGAAATGTTCAAATGAACAAGTGAGAAAAAAAAGTTCTGATTCATTGCCTGAGTTATATTTATATATTGAATTTACAAAATTGAAGGTTGATTGACATGAAAATGAATAAAACTTGGAGTATTATTATCACCATGTAAAAGTTTCAGCTTACCCTGGAAAAATGTTTATCAGGAGAAAATTTCATCAGAATAATTCAGAAGGAAAAATATCAAAACGTTTTCCTAACTACTCAAGCTTGATGAAAATTTTGTCTTATCAATCTTTCCCCTTATTTGTATCCAAAATTCAGAGTTAACTTGTAGCATCGGTTGTCATGGAAACCTTGTTATCAATTCTCAATATTTCCTAGTTCATTTTGGGAAGATCAGCGATTTTTTCTCTCTCTCTCTCTTTACTGATATTTCTCATCATTTTTTTCTCATCATCATTGTCATGTTGATAAAAATTCAGAGTCGACAAGACATCAATCTTTTACATGTCACCTGATATTCATTATGATGAAAATTGTTCCCAACGAAAAAAAAATGACGAAAAGAAGACAGAATATGAGGAAAAAAAGTAGCATCTTTTTTATCATCTCAATTTTTACCAATCATCTTATCACTCAATCAAAGGGATCTGAGTATTCATCATGCATCTTTATTATCGTCATCATTATCATCATCAAAAAGTATCATTGATAAGTCGATTGGATTCAAAGTCTACATGGTAAAAGATTGAAACTACTACAATTGTGACCAAATCAATGGACAATAGTAAATGCAAAGCAAAGCAGAAAATAAAGTAACATGAAAACGAATCAAGCTACAAAAATGATTCACAATCTCCACTGAATATCAACATTTTCCTCGGAACTTTTTTCCTCTTCATTTCTTTCAAATGAAATAACAATCGAACTGCAAAAAAAAGTCATCAATTGTATTAATCTAACACCAACTAAATAGTTAACAATATAAACATTTCATTTCACAGAAAATTGTTGTTTTTCAAATGATTTTATCTCAAATTTATAATAGACACATAATAAGAGCTTGGAACAGCTAAAAAACAATAAAGTTAGTGTCAAAATTGATGTTTCTTTGGCTTTGGTTTGATATATAAGATTGGGAGTAGAAAATTTCAATCATAACAATATTATTTATTATCGTTCAATTGTTTATCAACCTGCTCATAATCAACATAAAACTCAAAAAACATCATTGACAATTTGTCATTCTCATTGATTGTTAACCGCTTACCATTAGCTTGATGGACTTTTTTGTAGTACTAAAAATCAATTAACTTACCATTCACTACAGCGGTGGGTTGTTTTGATTGTTAAACTTGATAGGAATACGATTGTGAGCAAATAAAATGTTAATTGTATCCATCTAATTGTTAAAGGAAAAGAGAAAGAGAAAGTGAAAGAGATTAAGGAAGATGAAGGATTATCTCAATAGTTGATGAGGATGATAAACTTTTCGAAACAAAGAAACAAAGTCAAACAGTGATAATGATGATGATGATGATGATGATGATGATGATGATGATGATGATGATGATGATGATGATGATAATGATGATGATGATGATAAGAGTGATAAACAATATAACTTACATTGTACAAAATATTTGGATCCGTTTGCTTATTGTTTAAGGTAAATTGAGATAAAATTGTTTCATCATTGAATTGATTACCATTGATGGTGGTTGCGTCATTATCGTTATCATTATGATTTTTGTTATTATTTACAGAACCAGCATTGATCATGGATTGAATCCATGTTGAATATGTTGCTGAATAATCTGGTCTCAGGGAGGCGATAGTTAGAAACATCCGATTGGCCTCATCAAGACGAGATTCATCTCGACTTATAAGTGAGGCATAATTAAGCAAACCCTGTAAATGATTTAATGTAATTGATGAAGATAAGTTGTTATCAGTTGTAATTGTTGTTGTTGTTTTTGATTCTTTCAAATTATCATCTTGATGATGACCATTAACGGCATCATTATAGTCTATCAGGGTATAATCATTATGGTCAGTATTGGTCCCTTGGTTGACCAGTCTCTCATAAACAGGGAAAGATAACCTTCCAATTATTTTACTTTGATCAGTATTTTGTTGCTCAATAGGTTTATCAGCAATTAAGGAAGATACTGATGATGATGGAGTTGGCAGTAATGGCGCTGAAGATGAGGTCAACAGTGAAGATAATGAGAGTGAAAGTGATGACCTTGAAGAAAGTGATGCAAGGTATGAATTTGCTGACAACTTATCCACAGGTAAGGGATCAATATTTTCAGAAATATCATTTGAATTTTTGAGAGGTGATGTTGACCTGCTTGATTTTGGTATCAAATCCAACGCTTTACGGTAAAACATTTCCGCTTCCGGTAAACGTCCGATTTTGGTCAATGCTTTACCTAAATTCAGGTAGCCTCGAACATCATCTGGCTCAATTGTAACTGATTTCTCATAGTAACTTAAAGCCAAAGCAAGATTACCTTGATCCTCGTATAATCTGCCAACATTGTTCAATAGTTTCACATTACCTGGATTAACATTCAACCCGGAAGTAAATAATGATAACTCATTTTTCCTGATGAAGAGAAAAGAAAATCAAAAATCAATTTGAAAATCAATGACAAGATTCAATCAATAATAGCAAAATAGTTTATCAATTTTCCATGATAATTGTAGTTAATTGTTGTCTCAATCAATTGAGAATACATCAAACTATTAATGCAGTAATGATGATCAATTCCCATAGGTAGCATATACTGAATCAAATTGATATTGATTGGAATTAGTAATATTAATATGAAAGTCAGCATGAAAATGATTATCATGATTGAAATGTTCAAATGAACAAGTGAGAAAAAAAAGTTCTGATTCATTGCCTGAGTTATATTTATATATTGAATTTACAAAATTGAAGGTTGATTGACATGAAAATGAATAAAACTTGGAGTATTATTATCACCATGTAAAAGTTTCAGCTTACCCTGGAAAAATGTTTATCAGGAGAGAAAATTTCATCAGAATAATTCAGAAGGAAAAATATCAAAACGTTTTCCTAACTACTCAAGCTTGATGAAAATTTTGTCTTATCAATCTTTCCCCTTATTTGTATCCAAAATTCAGAGTTAACTTGTAGCATCGGTTGTCATGGAAACCTTGTTATCAATTCTCAATATTTCCTAGTTCATTTTGGGAAGATCAGCGATTTTTTTTTTCTCTCTCTCTCTCTCTCTCTCTTTTACTGATATTTCTCATCATTTTTTTCTCATCATCATTGTCATGTTGATAAAAATTCAGAGTCGACAAGACATCAATCTTTTACATGTCACCTGATATTCATTATGATGAAAATTGTTCCCAACGAAAAAAAAATGACGAAAAGAAGACAGAATATGAGGAAAAAAAGTAGCATCTTTTTTATCATCTCAATTTTTACCAATCATCTTATCACTCAATCAAAGGGATCTGAGTATTCATCATGCATCTTTATTATCGTCATCATTATCATCATCAAAAAGTATCATTGATAAGTCGATTGGATTCAAAGTCTACATGGTAAAAGATTGAAACTACAATTGTGACCAAATCAATGGACAATAGTAAATGCAAAGCAAAGCAGAAAATAAAGTAACATGAAAACGAATCAAGCTACAAAAAGTGATTCACAATCTCCACTGAATATCAACATTTTCCTCGGAACTTTTTTCCTCTTCATTTCTTTCAAATGAAATAACAATCGAACTGCAAAAAAAAGTCATCAATTGTATTAATCTAACACCAACTAAATAGTTAACAATATAAACATTTCATTTCACAGAAAATTGTTGTTTTTCAAATGATTTTATCTCAAATTTATAATAGACACATAATAAGAGCTTGGAACAGCTAAAAAACAATAAAGTTAGTGTCAAAATTGATGTTTCTTTGGCTTTGGTTTGATATATAAGATTGGGAGTAGAAAATTTCAATCATAACAATATTATTTATTATCGTTCAATTGTTTATCAACCTGCTCATAATCAACATAAAACTCAAAAAACATCATTGACAATTTGTCATTCTCATTGATTGTTAACCGCTTACCATTAGCTTGATGGACTTTTTTGTAGTACTAAAAATCAATTAACTTACCATTCACTACAGCGGTGGGTTGTTTTGATTGTTAAACTTGATAGGAATACGATTGTGAGCAAATAAAATGTTAATTGTATCCATCTAATTGTTAAAGGAAAAGAGAAAAAGAGAAAACAATTAATTGTTAATTAGTTGTTGATCCAATGCTCTGAAATGATTATAAACATTGTCAAGTCTGTAAACCTTTTGAATTTCATTGATGTGATTGGATATGATTTATTTCTGATTCCTTGTGAATTCAATTACATTATATTGAATGTTCAATACGATTCAGTGAACAATCATGTCAATTTTTTTCCAATCTCGCTTATTCATCGGGCTGATTATCATGAATGAACTTTTCTTTCATTTGGTAAACGATTATCATGATAAAGATATCCAATGATACATATATTTGGGAATCAAATTTCATTTTCTTATGAGTTTTGGTCCTTTAGTTTCATTTTATTTCGTTTGTAAAACTTTCAAACTTGACAAAATAAAGTTCTGACTATTCCCATGATGACCTATTCAAATCAGATTGATTTATTAAATGATGTTATCCAAAGACTATAGTATTGAAATAAACATTTAGCAACTTGAATTAAATGGTAAAAAAGTGTCAACAGACTCAGAATTCAATCCGAGACATGATTTGATAGTCAAAACATTCAAGTTTACACCGGGAACCAGGATATGAAATTATGACTCAAAGTACTGAACTGAAGCTGAATTGATTTCATACTCGATGATTAATATTATTTATTTTATTCAATATATATATAAAATAACAGAGATTTAGACAATCATGGAAATCGGATATTGATAAATGTCACTTTATATTTTTCAGTTGAAATAAAGGAAATGAAAAAGTTACCTCAAGAGTTGATAAAATATTACAAAGCCTCAAAGACTAGAATATTGAATATCTAAAGCTCAATATTCTCAAATGAAAGGTACATGAAGAAGTGAAAACTAAATGACCATTCCAATGAGTAAGATAATTACCTCAAGTCTTTTGAATTATCTTGATGGTCATTCCATCATAATAGCTGTCGTTTTGTAAGAGGTGATAATGTGTCAAAGATAACTTTCCCCAGAAGCTCAGTTGAATCTCATCTCCCTCATAAATGACTAACGGTAAATGGTCAGTAAAAAAACTAATAAACTAAAAGTTATCACATTACCTCAATATTGTAGAGACATTTGAATTTGCATTTTCCATGAAAGAAAAAAATTACCATGATACTCAGAGTCTTCACATAATCACCAGAATCATGGCTCTTTCTCTCTCTCTCTCACCTTCTCTATTGCTCCAAGCAGATAGATGATAAAAATACATAGTGTTTTCTATTGCATATTAAAAATGAGAAACTTTTTTCCGCTCTGCCTTTTATCATCATCTCCTCACCCTAACCCACCCATCGCTATCATGATGATTACAATAACAGTAATATGGTTGGAAATACTTCTATCAATTTTCACCCTTCAATGAATGAATATTATTATTATTGAGCTTTTTATTTCTCATCTTATTACCATTTCTTATGGTTCCATAGGTTTTCTTTGTAAAAGGAAGAAAAGTGAAAATTCATTTTCACACATTTCCTTTTCCACCTCACTGTTGATTCACCAGCTACTCTCTAATTTCCACCCTGGCTTCTTGTTAGCCTCCAATAATTTTCCATCGCCATCCATAAGCTTCTTTCTTTCATCTTACTGTTGCTTAATAGCTACAAAGCTCTAGTCATCATTAGCTTCATCTTCAAGCTTCCACTGAATATAAAACTAATACATCAAACCAGCAAAGAAGCCACTTCGAGAACACTGAATGTTCAATAGTAAAGTTTCAAGATAGAAATGGATTGCTAGTCAGAACTTGAATATTTCTAAGTAATAAATACATTTAGTAATCTACCTGAGGATGTGAAAAGTAAATATAAAAAGAAACTGATATAATCATGAAACCATTGAAATTAATAAGTAATCAAAGGGCTAATCTTCATGAAATTATCACGAACATGAGAAATCTACTAATTCAATAAATCTCACTTTTCTTTCATCCAGATGATAATTAATATCAATGATTGGCATCCTTTCATCATCCTCATCCAATTATTGAATGTGAACATACATCTACTATTACATGGAAACCTTTCATCTTGATCATATTTTGTTAGCATTTACATGGAATCATCATCATGGATAATATTTATTCACTCATTTCATTCATTTACAATTTATTATCAACATCATGGTTAACATTTTCTTCACCTCCTATCATCAAACTAATACATTCGTGATCATCATCATCCTCATCAGTATAATTGAGATAAATACAGATTCCAATGTAAGAAAAAAACTGATAATAATAATGATAATAATTCAATACTATTCAATTAATAACATACAATCAGAAAGTGTATTTACCTTTGGTTATTGTTGGTTCAATGTTATTTACTGTTACCACTTTTATCATTCTGATAACAATCACTCAGACACTTAACTGTATTTGCATTTTAATTGAATACACATTCTGATATAATAATAATAATAATAATACAACAGTATAATTGAATCAAGCTGAATGCTCATTGTGTCTAAACTGAATGTGTCTGCATGGGTATGCATAAAAGTTTATTGTTTTCTATTGCATTGTCTTCATCATGCAACAACATTTGTGTAACAAATTCAATTCAATTTTAACAGTAAATTGTTGCCATGATATTATGATTAGACAGGAATTAAATTGCATCATGTCAACACTAACTGTTTCTGTATGTATGTATGTGTGTGTGTGTGTGTGTTGTATGAACACAAGAAAATTCAAATTACATTGGTAACAATCAACTTAAAGAGTGAGGGAACCAAAACAATCAAGAAATTAATAACAATCAAGGAGAGGGAAGGAAAAAGTTTTTCACTTGCATTATTTTATCATGTTATCCCTTCCTAGTTTTTCAGGGTAAATATTGTTCATAATGATGATAATGTTTATAAACAGAATTGAAAAGTAAAAATTTAATTGAATTTACAGTTAACAAAACAAAAGTGTCAAATCAACAGTTGTAATTGTTGTGAGCAATGGATGATGATGATGAAGTCGAGGAAAATGTTGGAGTGGATTGAGTAAGATGAGAGTGATTCAGTTAAATTTGAAATTTGTTATTAAATTAATTTTTTTCGCCTTCGATTTTATGTCACAATTGATAATGTTCATGTTTATCATCATTATCTTATCGAAAGTTTTATTCTTTATTAAATTAAATTTTGATCCTCTCAAAGTAATGAAAATTGTTATTCTTAATCAGTTTAAGTTATTAGAGTTAAATTAAAATTGAAGGTGATCACAATCAATTAATCAGGTAAGATTATCGATTGATCAATAGTTCATCAGATGAACTATTGATTTTCCATGAGAATAAGTGAATTCCAATCAATGAAATTGCAGATATTTCATACCATAAATCATTGAGTAAACATTATCAATAGTAAATCAATGAATTTACATCGAGAGTTTTTTTTGGGTGAAAAAATTGTGAATAAAACTATGATTATCACTTAATCTTTATCGAAGATTATCTCAGTGATTTTGAGATAGAAAGAGAAATTGATTTCTTATCATCAATTGATATTTGAATATGAGTATTAATCTGGTTACATGAATGATGATAATCAGTGAGATTATCATAAAAGTGATGACAGTTTATCTGTAGTTCTGATAACCTTCAAGATGATTAGCTTGTGTATTCATATAGTATTTGTTGTGAGTATTTAGAGTTAATTTAGCTACAAATATAAAAGATTTATCAACAGTTTCTATGGAAACTGTGACAACGATTAAAGAGGATATAATGATAACAAGAAAATGTGACGAAGTTGATCAAGAGAGGGTTTTAAGGATGAGGATGGAGATGGAAAGTGTAGAGGAAAGGGAAATGATTGCATTAGCGATTAAGTCACAATTAAAGTGATTAGTATCACTGTTTAATGGATTCAACATTGGAAACAACATTTCAACAATAACAAAAGCAACAAAATGCAATCTAAATTAAAGTAATTAACAACACTTTATCCATCTTGCTCATCTTCACTATTCAAGATGATGATAACATCCTCATCATTATTACAATTGTATTATAGCAATGCAATTGTAATTATCAGTTAAATACAATAAACAAGTGAAATTAATTGTCTCCACACTTAAAGTTAGTTTCATTCATTAAATTGATTATTTGATTGTAACAATCATCATGATCTTGAGGTCAATTGAAGCCTAGACACTTAAGATGCTGATAATGGATGAAGAGTGAGCCAAAAAATACACTTATCAATATGCAAATTGTTAAGGTTATTTAGTTAATTGTTTCAACAGTTAGATGATTTTCATCTTGTGTAGTTAATGAGCTTAAATTTCATGGTGAATAACAACAGGAAAGAAGATTAAGTTTCAAGGGTTTCATTCATACAAAAAAAACAAGAACATGATGATAAGTAGATGATATTATCATCATTAGGAACTGAGAATGATAATTTAAGAGCTCACTTAATTTCATAGACTTTATCATCAGCTGAAAAAAAATAAATCACTACAATATAATTATTATCATGAGTAAATAATAGTTATTAGTTTGTATTAGGATGAAAGGATTGAGAAAAGTTCATTTTGTGAAAATCAATGAAATCAGATTGAAATTTGAATGTTAATTGTTTACAGATTGACAGTTGATTAAATCACTTACCTTTTACTTTTGATGATAATTGATGAGTAAAGTAAAATAAACCCTCGGGCAAGTATCATTGAGAAACCCATTGATGGTAAATATAAAACCCTTTCAGCGATAACAAAACCCACCGGGAAAAATATATTGGATACGGGTAAAAATGTGATCACCATGAATCCCATTGCCTATGATTAAATTTAATTATTACAAATATAGAATTAGTATAATTTAATGAAATTAGTGAATAAGGTTCACCATCATATTGGGAATTCAAGATTTCGGGTTAGCTTCAATGGGCTCTATAGATATTGAGATCATCTCTTACAAAATTAATCATTTGAATACGGAACAACATTGGGATTTGATCAGTTAGATTATGGATTCTTGAATCATCATCAAAGTACGTGTAGTAACACCATTTACAATTCCTTCATTGAAAGTTGAATTCATCATGAAATCATCTATCCAACGGAATTGGAAACCATGGAAAAGTATTAATAGTCTAATCTTTTCATTTCCGATTTCATTCAGAATCCAATTTATAATGGAATCGAATTTCTCTCTCTCTCTCTCTCTGCTGCAAAATACCTTAAATTGAAATAACATTTATTTCATTTCCGTTTCCATTTATCATAAAATCTCATGTAACCTGAAATTATTATTGGGTTAATATGGTATTTGTTCAACTTGTTCCATCAAATTTTCATGTTTAATTTATATCTTCATGTTGATGGTGATTAAATATGTTGATTGTTTATCTAGATTCCTAGAGTTGATTATCTATACTGCTTAGGTTGTAATTGTTATTGGATAATAATCGATTTAATCAGATTAAATTGTTTCTATCATTAAATTTTCACTTCTATTTACTGTTTATATTAAATTAAATTGATTATCAATTATCTAGATCAGCGATTTGTTTGGATGATCAATTTGTTTCACAAATGTTAACATTACAATTAAAGTCATGATAACAGTAATAATATTTTATGATAACTCCTGGCAGAGAAAAAGAGGAAAACTGAACAGCTGACCAATGGTCAAGTAAATACTACATTATAAGTCTCACTGGGTGGTTGGTTGGTTAGGATAATATAATCATCAATATCGACAATTGTATCATTAGTTAGGATTTTAAAGGTTATTTGAAAATCAGTGAATTCAACCATGTTTTTGTTGTCAATTAACTGAACTGAATTCAATTGTGTTTTTGATAAATAGATTTAAAAGAAAGTAATTAAAGCATCTAAGGAATGAACGGAAACCGGAAATGTAAATTAGAATCACTGAAAACAGAAAGAGGAAATAAAAATTTTATTCTTCGGTTAAAATTTTCTCCTCATGAAATTTTGGACAGAATTTTGATTTGAAAATCTAGATTCATGATCATCTCTCTTTCTCCTTCATGATGGAAACAAAACTTTTTCTCACAACATCTCTAGAGAATTTGAATACAATAAAGGATTACGAGGATACTGTTAATAATAAAAAGGAAGAAGGAAATTACTAAGACTATTTGAAACTTAGAATACAGAGATAAAGATATGAATGACCACCGGTCAGAGAATGAAAAAAAAGAGAAGTTGAAAGTTCTTATTAATAATATTATCGCACATTAAGAGTCAGTTTATTGGGAATTTTATCTTTCAAATAACTAAACTGAAACACAGTTGATATTAGAAATGATATTGAACAAAGTTAGGATGAACAGAAAGATAAAGAGTGAAAATTGGAACTGAATATGAACGGTAGGATCTGGAGATGATCTGATTTTATCATGTAACATTCAGAGAGTTTTTCATGTGTTAGAATTCAAATTGAGTTGTAATCGATGAGGGAAAATTTTTCGTTTTCTTAACTAATCGTTGAAGTTTCATCATTAAGGATAATTATCGCTGATATGTAAGAATAATCAATTTAGAAATAATTATGGTTCTTAATTATCTGATGATCATTAAGGTTATCTAAAGGTTGTTCATGAGGATTATCATGCAGCTCATCAACTCCACCTTATCACTAAGAATCATTAGTTGCAAAATATTGTTATAGATTTAATTGTTTTTCTTGATTATCTTTTTGTTTTTGTTGGTAATTAAGGTTTATCTCTTTGTTGTTTTAAGATTTTCCTTGAAAATGGAGCTAAAATTCAGTTTCAAGATAATCATCATCTTATAAATTCTGAGTGTATGAGTTGCAATTAAAGTAACCAGAGATTGAGCAATTTTCTCCCAAAGCTTAATGATCATCCTGTGATGGAATCAGAATCTTTCATTTCAACAGACATGATGATGATGATGATGATGAATTTCTTTTTATTTCATCATTATCATCATGAGAAAAGTCTGAATTTCCATCATTTTCATCATACTTTTCCATGATGTTGATCGTTATTGGCTTTGACTTTGAGCTTCCGGCTCTGAGGTTTTCCGGCTTTGGATAACATTTAATTAGAACGTTGATAAAATGAAGATGATAATGATGAGCTCATGTAATGGTTAATAAGATGAGGATGATACCAATATGCAAGAAGAAGAGAAAAGTGAAAGAGAAAAGAAGAGCAAAAAAAGTCTTCCAGTTCCAAGGAATTGATAAAGAGAAAAGATCAGAACACAAAGAATAACAATATAATAAGGATGCTAGTGTTTTAGATGATGAGCACCAAATGATTATCATGATGATGGAGAAAAAAGAGAAAACTAACTTTGGAAGAGGAAGAGAGAGGATGATTAGTATATACTCGACTGGTTCATTTAACTCTGATTCTGATGAGGAAATAAAAGTAAACTGTAGATACAAATGCAGCGATAAAGATTGACAGAAATGGTTATCAGTGCACAAGAGAGTTAATCATCATCATCTTATGTAGAAATGCCTTCGAGTGATGCCAACTGATGGAAAAGATGAGGATGCGAATGAGAGAGAAATAGATGAATAAACTTTCATTCATAGTTATTAAATTACCTAAATTAAATCTTGAATATTATTATTAATATCTCCAAGATGGATATAGATCATTCATTGAATCATTGAAAGATAATCTTGTAGAGGATTAAGAGTCGGAGTGATGATGATGATGGTGAACAAGATGAAAATAATATTATGAGTATTACTTACCATCCAAGTGATTGTATCACCTTTCAATAGGATAACTGTTAATGAGATGAATAGTAAAAGTGTAAGGATATTTTTTGGATCAATCAGTGAGACGATTAGTTGAATTGATGTTGATGACCAATCACATGATAGATTGACCGGATAAAGTAAAAGCCAACAATTATAAGACCAAATAAAAGCATAGTTAAGCTGTCGATAAGGTGATGTTAATATACGAGCTGGATTATCTAGTCTGTAAAAAGATTGGATTGAAAAACAGAAACAATCAGATTAACGGAAATGATTAATCAGAGTGATATAAATGAAAGGGATAATTGTCAAGTTAAATTTTGTACTTTCAATTAATATTTTCCATGTTATCAACAATTAATATCACATATTGAAGAGTAAAAATTACTATCAACTTGTTATCAAAAGGGATTTCTAGTTAATTGACATGTACAGATAATCATCTTAATCTTGTGCTGGGTGTTAATCCAATTCATCAAATTTACTGATAAATTAATCATGAAAATGTTGATATTTATTGGCTGATACAATTAGAGAGTTTGGCTTTTGTCAAGTAAAAAGAGATATTTTCAATTGAGTTTGATGGTCAACGGTAATTAAATTAATAAATAGACTTGAATGATGATGGTGAAGATGTGAAAGGTTATCATCATGATGATCATTATTATTATTAGTGATGAGGTAGATATAGTCATCCTCGTCATCTTCATTATCCCTTGAGGGTGTAAGAAAATGAAAACCATTTACAGTTATCATTTGGGTTAATGAGATTTAATCTCATTCTGAGTTTACAACCTACAACTATGCCACACCCTTTAATATTGGATCTTGATCATGATTCTGTCGATAACAATTTACCTGCGATATCATCATGATTATCATCATCTTCATCTTGATGAGAGTTTAATAAGACAATGTCATTGACAATAAAACATGTTATCACTTATTGCTTTTGATGATAAACAAGATAAACTTTCATCTTAATTTATATCACTATCATAGACTACAGAGTAAGTGGATTGAGAGAGAGAGAGAATCGTGTTTATTTCATCATTTGATGAAGCGAAACTTGAGTTTCCACATTCATGATAATCTCATATCTTTCACTTTAATCTCTATGATGCCTGCGGCACTTATGGAATGAGCCTCATTCTCAATATAAGAAAAAGGATAAAAAAATGAGACTAACATAACAAGAATCAACAGAATCATCATTAACAATCTGCTCTAAATTACTCATCTTTTTTATTGGTCATCTTTTTTTCCTTCAATGATACTAATGATAAGTCATCAGGAAGCTTAATCCTTTTCTTAGCCATCATCAATTATGAATTCAAGGTAATATCACAAAAATATTATCATTAACCAGAATCATTATCAGATTTATGTCTTGATGGTCATCTTGATGATGATCATTCTTACTCTAATCACATATTCTGGATAATGATCTGAATCGTTGATGAATTTTCATCATAACTTTTGCTACCATCATCATGAGATTATCATGATAATGATAATGATCCAAGATTTACCGTTGTTTGGATTATATTTATCAATCGTTTGCAGAAAAAAAAAGTTCAATTGAAAATCAATGATATTTACAAATTCGATCAACTTAATCACGTTCAATTGTCTTCACCTTTTCCATAATACACAATTGAACCTTTTTTGAATTGAAAATTAGTTCGACTAATGGTAGGTAAGATAATAAAATCGTCATCTTTGATTGAATCAACTTTGATAATCGTTTGATTGTTTTCTCTTATTTGTAAATCAATGGGCTGAAGACTAAAATAATCTGGACAAATAGCATCGTGAGAACAGCATGAGGTTCATGGTAAGATGAAAAAAATAGATGTTCCAATTGGCCACCTAAGAGATATTATAATTGAGCTAATACTTATTAAAAGTTCCTGGCGATGAATGATTGTGAATACAGAGAAATCAGTAATTCATGTTGGGAATTTTGATTAAAAATAGAAATTGAAAAATCAATTAATCATTGCACTGTATTGATTGATTGTTACTATTAAATCATTAAAGAGTATTAATCAAATTATGATTACCTTAATTAGACTAATTTTGTCAACGATCATGAATATCCCCCTGATTTCATGATTATTTTCACGAAAGATAAAAAAACTTGCAACTTTTTTTCATCAACTTGACATTTCAGCTAATTGATATTTTAGCTTAACAATTAACTTTTTTTCCCTCATCTACTTATCCAGTCCACCCTGTTTTCTCAATCTTAATCTATTCCTAATGAGCAGGGTAGAGTCAGAAGTGAATTAACAACGAATTGATAAAAAAATCCGAAGACTTTTTCTCTTGATTTTGATTATTTAACAATTAGGAAAATAATGAGCTTTATAATGATGATGAAGGTGGAGGATAAAACCTCCCAATCTTCATCAAAGTTTTACTAAGAAACAACTAATTGAACTGAACAAACTCTTGGATGGAAAGGAAAAAGGAAGATGATTAGTAAACATGATTAACTGAAAATAATTAAATTGTTAACAATTAATGACTATATTTTTTTCTGAACAATTTCTCTTGTTTACATATTTCATGGGAGAATGAAAAAACTTACAATATCGCCATTTTCCAATCTAATCATAAGATCAAAGGTGAATTATTTTTCACATTCTCATAGGAATTCAATTGGAAATCAACTAATGCTGAGAGTTAATCGTTATTGGAATCGTAATTGAATAGCCAATTGGAAGTGTTAATAATTATTTTATTAATTTCTTGATGATTATGCTCATGCAAACTTCTGGTAACTACTCATGACTATGTTTGAGAAATTATTATCAAGTTAATATTTACATTTCCAGTGAATTTTAAACTGAATTCAAATGATAATCATCATGAGAATAATGGTTGGGGTGGTAACATGAAAAATACTGATAAATCTTGAGTAATCATGAATAAGATAATGAATTTATCTTAGGATTGAATCAATTCCATAATAGTAATATAATGAATTCTCAATTTCATGATAGTAAAAATTTTTTACCTGGTATACTTAATGATGATTATTAAAAGCGATTTGACATAATCATGATGAAACTATTCAGTTGCATGATTAAGTTAAACTCTTTCAAATATATTTTAACTGTTTTCTTACAACTTTTAACCATATTTCATGATGAAATATGAAACACATTATGAAAAACGATATAAAAACTCAGTCTGATAGGCATTCAAAGATAAACAACTTTTGAATATGAATTAGATACATGATAATCAGAGACTTCTTATCAGCTCAAGTTCATGAAGATTTACCTGAATTAATTAATATTCATGAATATGGCCAAAGGTGATCTTTCAGGGAAAATGGAATAAAGATGAAATTCTTGATAAAAAAGTTCATCACAATTCATAAAACCACAGGATGATAATAAAGATAATAGATGAAGCTGTTTACTCATTTTTCTGCTTATTTTCACCATTTGATTGATAGAGAAAGAGGCAGAGAGAGAGAGAGAGAGCTGAGTATGAATATCATGATGATGATAATTAGATCGAAAGTGGAATGTGAGTTCTAAGCAATGGAAGAGTGAGAGAGAAGATCAGATTACTGTTGCTCTTCTTATGATGATGGTAATGAAAATTCTGAATCAGAAACTTCATATTACATTTAAGAATCTACTCAAGAATTCTGGTTTCGAAGCAAAGATAAAAGTTGCACTAAAAGAATGATGATGAAAGAAAAAGATAAAGGAGTAATGATAATCAATTCTTTTATTTTCCACCTTCTCTCCGATTGGAGGTCCAACAGGAAACGGATATAAAACTAACCTTATTTGAGATTGAAAAGCAAATTGAGCTAATACAACAAAAGATATTAATCTCAGCTGCATAAGCCAATATGTCTGTCTTACAGTTTATATCATCAGGGGCAGCGGGTGGTTCATAGTGGGTGGTGAATGAAAAGATTTTACTATAAGATAAAAACTATTGGATTAATAAAAAGTTTCCACTGAAAATCTTAATCAAGGTAAACATGATTCATGAATTATGTTATTAACCAAATTGAAGATAACTAATTGATTTCATTTCTTCAATCAATAGTAAAACCATTAGTCAATAATGAATTAACAACGATTCAAATCAATAGATTATAAATTATTGATGGATTAACTCTCAATTTCTCTCTCTCTAAATTGATTTGAGAGATAAAACTATGGATTGATTGTAAAGTATTATATCAATAAGTCAATTGTCACGGAATAATAAACATCATCAGAAGGCCAGTTATCATGATGATGATTGTAATAAATTCATTTCTTGTTTGATGATTATCATTATCATGGTGTGTTGTTGAAATCAATTGAGCTTTCAATCTGACCCTCAGAACCTGAATCATCATGAGGAATCAATTGAGTCACGTAAATTAAAACAGAATAACAATAACAATGATTACTATCATGAAGATGATAATAATAACCCCAATCCAAATCCCACTACACTTGATGATGATAAATAATGAAATAGGTAAAAAGTTTAATGTTTGATTATTAATCATTAATAATTATCGAGACTTAAAATATCACTCATAATACTTGAAAGATTGGTGAGATACTAGTAATGGATTAATTAATTATTGACAATTTAGGTTAGCTAATCAATAGTAAAATTAATAAAAATGGTAAATAACCATAGTGATCAAAATCAGATTAATTAATAACCCTAAATCATTTCAATAGTTTTGCAAACAATTTATGTCAACCAAGTTAATATCACCTAATTTTATTCAACAACTACTGTAATTAAAACTTTGTTTTACCTTTTAATTATCACAATTAACTTTAATTATCGATGGATTTTCACCATTTGAATATGTCTCAATCCATTATAATTTATTTACTTAATTTTACAGTAGCCATGACAATTAATTGTTATTAATTTATGGCTGATATTTATGAGAATTGATTTTTACACTAGTTATTGATTGATTTTTGTCTATTAATCATTAACTATCATTATCATAAACAATTAAACTAATACTAAATAAGTATTACATCATCATCAGGTAGATTAACTTGATGATGAATGTTACTTTATCATAAATTTGGACTAATTAGTTGATGTCCGCTTATATAATTAAAATGAACCATTTAACTTACTGTCAATAATTAAGCTTTAAATTGTATTGGAATCGATAATTTTTTTCCAACAATCATTTTAAATGATATTAGAATCCCAGTGTTATTATAGATTTGAATAGACAAACAAGTTTAACTGTTGAGGATTAAGACAAGGTGATTATCCTTGAATTAGAGAGTGTCAAATCTAATGGATTCTAGATCACTCCACTAACTGTGATTAACGTTTTAATTTAGTTAATTGATCATTTACACAATCTAAGCTCCATTAAGTTTTTTCAATCTTATTCTCTTCTTTGTTAATCTCACGTCAGTACAAGTAGAAAAATACTAATCCATTTGGAATTTAATTGATGATGAAACATAACTGAATCCACTTTTTCATCGGAATGATAATACTGAGTGACCAATGTACTAATGTCCGTTTGTTTATCTAGATTATCAAGCAAAAAGGATATTAGCTAAAATCTTGGAAAATTGGATTAACATGTAATCCATTTGAAAATTGCTGAGATTAACTATCACATCTTAATCTGTATTACTTGTTTTCATCTTAATATGTGTTGATTATCACTGACCAATAGTGACCATCACGTTAATCATCATTGAGTTTGGGTAATACTGATAGTCATCCAACAAATTCAATCTCATAGAAAGAAAAATGAAATTCTCAACATTTCATCGCATAAGATGAAACCTCTCATTTGAAGTGGTCACTTTGTCAAAGAAAAAAAAAATTTTCTTCTGTTCCTTAAAAGTAAAAGGCAGAACTTAACATGAACCTGATGATAAAATTCAATTTTGTATCCGACTCATCGTTCTGTCAATGAAATCTGACAGAATTTACTTTATCCTATGGACACATTATCCTTTTATAATATCAGAGAGGGTTTTATCTCATTCCATATTAATATAATAATACTATTTCCGGTTTTATCATGTGTACCATTAGAGAGAGAGAGGGGGGGAGGGATAACAGGAAGATGACCAATGTTGAATCCACTCAATGAAGATAATGAACTATTTTCAATTTGTATTCACCTAACCAATTCAATTGCAATTCAATATAAAAAAAATCGTAATCTGATTTAGTTATTATCTCATCATGTTCCATGTACTCTGAGCTTTTTACCCTGAATTTTATTTCCCAGGCAAAAATTTTCTTCTCATGTTTCTGAATTTATCCCCTTCTTCCATATTTTGGAAGCCAAAAGTTCATCGAAATCAAATAAATAGCAATAACAATAACAATCGAAATACTGTCCAACTGAATAGCCAACTGACCAAAAGGAAATCACATTTTCTGAGCGATCATTTTTTTTGTCAAGTATAAAAAGTAAAAGAAGATGAGAAAGTAAATCAATCAGATGATGATGACAAAAGAATAGGAAATGAATGAATGAGAAACTTTTCTGGTTCTGATGAGGAAGCGGAAGATTGAAATTGTAAACCATTGTGGAGATTGTGTAACATGATAATTCTGAAAAGATATTGACAATTTTTCTCATGAAAAGAGACCAAAAATTTAGTTATCTATTGATCTGATTGTGTTGATAAAAGTTTGATTCACCTGAATTGACTCAATCGATTTCAATGAGATAATATTCATGAAAATCATCTTGAACTTTGACATGAACTTCCCCCTCTTTTTTATATTAATCACTGAGTGAGATGAAATTCAAATAGAAAACACTAAATACAAACTACTGTTTAAACTTATGGATAGATAATTATGATCAATGGCATAAATTGTTTGCCAATGCTGTTGAAATACTATCAATTTCAATTTCGATTGATTTATTTGAATATATTGATCATAATCTATGTGTTGATCAAGTTTGTTTGTTGTAACAACAATCAACACATTTGAAAGGTTGAATTAGTTTTTGATAGTAACCAGAAATTCAGCTTGAGCTTTAAGCAATCAGATGATGAACATGTAATTAAGATAATCGAAGTGAATTATTAACATTGACCATGATTTCCGCTTTTTTCAGCATTCATCTTCCATCATCATCACCAAACACCCACACATCATTATCATCATCATAAGGGATAACTTGTATATCAAACAGTCAGTGGACTCAAGGGAGTCATTTTTCATAACAGAAAGTTGCTGCTTTTGACAAGAAAACAATTCAACAAACACTTTACATCCTGATGATGAGGATGAGGATGAGGATGAAGGTGAGTCAATAATGATGAACCAAAAGGATGCGATTTAAATGCAACATACAATCAGTAGAATGTAATATTAGATACACAATCGAGATGACAAATTGTCCCTAGTGTGTTAATCGTATGTTAGATTTAAAAATTGTGTGGATAACAAGAAGTATTAAAAAAAGGGATAATCATGAAAATCTCCTCAGGGGATTCCGGTCAAAAGCTATTAGCTTTATGAAAAGTTGCTACACTAATGGTAAACTAATCTGAATCCTGACATTAACTAATCATTGAAAATGAATGGATGATAACAATATGATTACAGCAACATGTAGATGATGATTATGAGTATAAAAAAAATAACATTAATCCACTGATTAAAGTTGGATAATCAGTAATCTTCCAACTGATCATCTCATTGTAATCCAATGATAATAATCAGATGATGTAACTTTTTTTTCCTCAATCAATAATGTAAAAGATATTGGATAACACTCCAGGGAATTGTGATATTTGAAATAAACCATTAGATTGACAATATTGATTATGACATTTAGAAATTGTAATTTTCTAATATCAACAATCAACTTTTTTTGTATAAACAATTAATCTCGTTCATTAGAAAGCTACTAAACTGTAAGTTAATAATTGGCTTCTTAGTTCAGTTGATTAACCAAATTTTCTTACCTGTTGAAGGAGGGAAGCTTATTGTTCATGATGGCAAATCGAAGGCAGGAAATTGTCATGAAACCCATGGAAAAGTAAAAGATATTTGCATAAAAGGCACAAGAACTTTTTGATTGAGGAACCATTGATGATGAAGAAGATGATAATTTACAGTTAGACTGTTTTCCATTGGAATTGGTGATATTTCTCAAGTTGAAATTACTTTTTACCCAATTAACCCATCGGTCAGTATTTTGGAGTATCTGAAAATGGAAATGGATAAATATTTGTTTCTGTAAAGTTGATTGTGAACAATTTAATTTACCTTTGATCGTAAATTGTATTTAAATAGTGATTCGTGAAAAATGCAAACAATTAAGGTTGTTGATGCTTGCTCTTTGCAAAAGGTTCCAATCAATGTCAATACGAAGACAATCAAAATTGATTTATCTAAATGAGCAACGAATAAAAAATAAATTGATTGTAAATTAAATTAGTTGATTGTTTGGTTAAGTTGATATTTTCTTGGGGAAAATAATACAATTAAATTAAAAACTAAAATGTAAACAAAATTTACCCTCATTTGGATTGGTAAAGAAAAACAAAATTAATTTAATTTGATTCAATTATTTTCATCTCTGTACATTTAATAGTCGATAGTTTTTAATTGTTAATTCAATTTATACATATATGAATTTTCTTAATTGTTATTGTAAAATCAACTATTAATTCAAAGTAATTACAACAATTAAGTTAAACTGTTTTTCGTTTCACCATCAATAATTGAAACAAAAGGAACAACAATTTATTTAAATAGAAACACAAATATCATCATCATTAATGTTAATTGTTGTTTCCAATTTAAATTAAAACTTTATCCGTGAAAATTTTCCCTGAATTATTTCAACAATGAACAATTTAAAATGTATTATATTAAATTAAAACAGTTATGAGAATAACAATTGTTACGATTAAACTAATTAACTAATTGTTGTTGGAATTGACAAAAATTGATCATAATTAGGAAGCATTAGTGTTAAACCAATGATTATGATTAATGTCCATCTTGATTAAATGATTAAATTGCTAACAACAATTAAGGATTAACCAAAAATGAGAGACAGAGTAGAAAAATAATAAGAGTAAAAAATTATTGATAATCTAAATTAATGATGATTACAATTGTTATCTTAATCATTAGCAAAGTTATTATTACCTTTAGGGGTAAACATTAAAATAACAATAATGATAATGATGATGATGAAACAAAAAGTGTAATAACAATAATGGTTAGATTATGAAGCCTTAAGCTAATGTATAACCGTAAATTATTTTCCTATTGTTTTTTTTATGTAATCATATAATCATGAGATTTTATCTGAATCGTTATTTGCTTTTATCATGATGAGAATGATAAAAAATAATGAGTTAAATGAATTCATATGTGCAGATAGTGTTTACTATTAGCATGGAATTGAAAGTAAACTGTTGAATATCAAGATTATTATTATTGAATTATAAGTAACTCAGAAATCAGATTATCTTTTAAAACTATTATCATGTTTAAGGAACTCTTTTTTTCCCTAGATATAAAGTATATATAGATTTTCCTCTTCCCTGATAATATTCGAGGGTTAACATGATGATTATTAGGAAATTCTGAATCATTCAAGTTCTTTGAGTAGGTGAATATAACATGATTACAGATTTATCTCGATATCTTGGTGGAAAAGGTAGAGATTCATTTCTAAGAGTTTTCCATTTTTCTCTTTACTTCTGCCAGACGAATGATAATATCGAGAAATTGGAAATAAATTTCCATTGAATATATAAAATCAATGAGAAGAAGATTTTGGTTTATCATCATGATTCACCCTGAAATATCATCCAAACTGTTGAGTTTCAATTGAATTTATATAAGATGATAAAGATGAAAAAATAGAGGTTCGTATTGAATAAGTTTTTCATTGGTCATGATACAAACCAATTGATTTAATCTCATGATATCAATGAAAATTAAGATGATAACATTTCAAGATATCATGATAGTCATGAAATGCTGATGAATACTAGAGGAGAGACATTAGTCTATCTATTAAATCATATATTATTGATTGATTACGATACTGGATATCCATTCAATCATGGGTGATGAGCTCACAGAGGGAATGAGAGAGGGAATAAAATAATGATAACAATGAATATGATAACCTTTCGACCCATGAAAATAATACTCATCATGTTATTCATTACAACTGATGACTATTTGACCATTCCAACAGAATTACAACTTGAAAGATTCATTTAATTCCTTCATTATCATCAATCCACCAGACCATCGATTGTTATAATAAGTTATTGGCTTATTGTCTTAGTGGAGTAAAAAAAGTTTATCAAAGAAAATGTTTTACAATCAAAGAATGTAACTGATCAAACTGACAGAATAAATTGGATTCTGAATAATTCTGGTTATCTTTTCTCTCATGATTAGATAAATTGTATCAATAAAATCTAATCAATCAAATGAGTTAATGATAGAATCTCTAAGTTAAAACCTTCTAAAATTGTTCTAAGTCCATGATGGTAATAACAGTTTTCCAATTTTCCAAGCCAAAAGTTAAGTTCATATTCATGGACTAAGAATTCAATTCAAAAAGATTTCCAGGTCTTGTTTACATTTACCAGGATTGTTCTCATGTAAATAAGAAAAGGTAAGAGAGGAAAGAGGGGGAAAAACTAATTCTGAGCTTCCAATGGATTCTGATAATGGATAAATTATATTCTTTAACATTAAAGTCTTTTAAAAGGTTTGGTAATACAACCAAAGTCATTTACACCAATGGTGAATATGATGCTTGATTTGGTTCATGATAAATGATGTTAACCTTATCTCCATCATCATCATCATCTGTTTCTTACTATTTTCTGGTTCTTATGTAATAAAAGGGCAAATAGATCAAAAGAAGAAGAGAAAAAAGTTCCATTCATGATCATGCATCATGATGATGATGGTATTTCCATTTCCATCTCTATCTTTTTCATTTTCTTCATTCGGTTCACTCCTTTGGTTAACTTTCTAAGAGGATATACAGAGTGGGTTGGGTTAGTTAAATGGTAAATGAGAAAGAGAGAGAGAGAGAGATAAAAAGCTACCAACGATACAGAATAAGATAAATTATGAGACATAACATGTAATTTGCGATTTTGGTTCCTCCAGAAAATGTAACCTGAATTTTTTCATTCTCCTGGTCACTTTTCTATCTCTAACTATCTGTAAGTTTGTGGTCATTATCATGGCAATAAAACAAGAGGGAGAATAGTAATAAATTGTTACCACAAAAAGAGTGGGGAAAACCTTATATGTACTCTGGACATTTAATCTTGTACTTACAGAGATAAACAATATGAAAGATTAACACTAATATTATGAGAGTAGTCAGTGGATGGGAAGTGGACGAATTTGATAATTCAACACAATAAGTTGACTCAAATTGTGGACACAAATCAAATTTAATGCGATAATAACAACGATAATTTAATGAGAGTTATGAGAGCTCATGAAACTTTAGCTATATGGTGATGATGATGATGAACGGATATAAAATCTGAAGGGAGGTAAAAAAATCAATAATCAATGTGTTATTCAAATGAGAAAATAAAAGGTTAATCAATTTAAATGCTACTGGATGGTGATTGTAATCAATTTCATCATGATAATAGCGGTAAGAGAAAGATATAACCTCCCTGATAGGCGGTTCCTGCCTTCACCAGAACAGGGAAAAAAACTCATTGGTAGAATTCAGAATTTACATTTACCTCATATTGAAATGATATAACAATAATAAAAAAAACTCCATTGCTTCTTGCCCTTGATGGAGTTTCACTCAATCGTGTCTCTATAATCATCATCATAATGATTACCATCAGATCATCAGCATCGCCATCATTATTGTTATCAACAACAACACACTCACTGTTAGGATTATCATTTGACTATCATTAGCATCCTCATAAAGTACATTAAGTTACCTGAAAAAGGTTGGACATTTAATCGTGTTCGTAAAGGTAAAAAGAGTCAGAAAATCAATCTATTATCTTTTACCATTCTGATTTTGACTTTCATGATAAATTTATTCAGACTCAATGAGAAAACGATTGAGAGAGGAAATTTTCATTAACGAAGTTTTCATGGTTCATTTCAAAGTAAATAATCAACTTAATCTTAAATCTCCGGTAAAATGTATCAATTTTTCATACTGATTGAAATCTTTGAGGTTACGCTTCTTGTTTCAGATAAATTTTTACCACAGGGGATAAAGTTATTAGCATTATTGTTATTGCAGTATTTTTATCACCTCCCTGAGCCTTTTTCATGAGCATATACCATTTATATGATATTGTTACTCGAATTATTATCATTATCATTATCATCATGGTAAATATTGTGAGAAAATGAAATGAGAAGAAGAAAAAAAAAACTAATAAAAGATAGAGAATGAAGGAAAGAAAAAAATATCCATTTACCTGAATTATTATCGTTGGTATAATCATTATCGGGGTGATGATGATGATGATGATGATGATGATGATGATGATGATGGTGATAGTTATCATTATGATTATTGTTGTGGCACCAATAAAGTAAAGCTGAAAGGCTGAATAAAGCTGATAAAAGTTCAGCTCGACCAACAATACTCGCTACCTGTTGAATGGACATTAAAAAGAAATGGTCAGGATTAGAAAAAAATTTCTTTCTTATTTATTGATAAAGAAAAAGATTATCATGATTATCATTCATGTTTCAGGTTTGTGATAAAATGTTTCTAAAATGCTTGACCACTGGATTTGATTCTGGTAACGGTCAACAATCAAAGTTCATTATCATATCATGTGATATTTGGTAGTTTAATTGTTAAATCAAATAACTGTTCATGACATGAGAGACATGATATGAATGAGATTGAGTACAACGATGAGAGACATTGTTGATTGTATTAATACTCATGTATTAGTTGTTAAAGTCACGCAATAATTAAATTGCTAATATTGATTGTTGTCTCACTTTGATTGCTTAACAATTTATATATTGTATAACCAACACCTGAGATTGTTGTGTAACACTTGATAACAATTACCTTTTACCTCCTACACCTTTTTAGTTATGCATCAATGAAAGTTTACCATGTAACTCAGTTATCATGGTGTATTAATGAACATGAATTAGTTTACATGAAAAATGATGAAACTTTTCCCTCAACTGTTCATTCAACTGATTATTGAAAAAAAAACGACAACAAAATTCACTTGATTTGATTGTTTTGGAAAATTGTAAATATTTATCTTGGATAGGAAAAAAACTTTCTAGTTAGTAAATTAATCTAAACAAGATTAAGCTAGTAATTGATTAGATTGGATCATCTTTTTGATGGATTAGTTTTAATTGAAATTGATTGATCATTGTTTCTAATATTCTTGACAACATTCAACCTTCTTATCAATTGCTTGGACATTATTAACTTGATTGGTCAGTCTAACTTGTTGAGGATATTGGATGCATCTTATATATTTGATGTAATGGTAAATAAGTTCATGATAATCTCATGAACAGGTTGTCATGAAGGTTTGACCTTTTTTTTTTACTGTGTCTCGTTGATTGTATGATCCATGAAAAAGTTTAAAGGTGATGGTCATTTACTTGAATTGGACACAATCATCAGCATCATCTGAGCTCATCATTTTATCACAATGAGATAGAGGAAAAGTTCATTAGAAATGAAAAGAAAAACCGTAAAAGTAAAACTTTCAGAAAAAAGAGATTTTTTTTCCTCCATTAAATGAACAACATAATGAACTTTTCAAAGGACATGATGAAGATAATGATGGTGATGAACATTGACCTCATGGTAAAAAATAGTAATGTCAATAACAATCATCTCCACAATATAAATCATAATTGAAGAATTGAAATGAAAGTGAATTCAATTGATAATCAGAGCAAAACTCTTGAAACTTTTTCACCATAATTTCCGGTTACATTTTGGATTCTCTATGGAATAAAGTTACTTCCGTTTCCAGATTTCTTTCAACAAAAAAGTTTAAATTCATCATTACAATTCAACTGAGCCAATCAAGTTATCATTTTTTTTCTCATCCTTTTCTTTATCATCTTAATGAACTATTGAGAGAGAAATGAACCTTTCACCATGAACATTATCATGAAGAGAGTGAAAATTTCATGTTCATTTACTGATTAATTCATAAACCTCTTATTATTATATTTGAGATAATTACATTTCCTTTGATTTAACTTTGGCATTTTAATTTATATATTACACCAAGTTAATTAGGATCCATATTTCAACTGAGTAACAATTAAAATCAACTTGTGATTAAATAGATTACATTGTTACAACAATTTCTTAATTGTAGATTAATTTAATTAATTCAATTGGGTTGATTATTGTTTCATTAATAAACTAATTATCAATGTTTTTGTTAAGTGTTGATAGCAAAGGTGAATCAAGATGAGAAGAAGAAAAAAAAATTAACAAGGTAATTAATTAATCCAGTTAATTGATTAAGATTGATTAAATTACTTTGATCAAGTTTAACATTTACTGTGTCAACTATGGACAAAATTGTTTGCCACTTTTCATCAGGAAAAACTAATCAATATTAATCATAATTATTTTTGTTGCAGACAAAATTTATCATCAACAAAATCATTAGATTTATTGATTGTTGATATTAATAATTAAACATGGTGGTAGTTAATTGTTACGATAAATTGTTAGACTTATGAACATTGAGTTTGACAAATTGTTGTTGTTTTTGACAAACAGAAAGGAAGGCAAATACAAAATCAATTCTCATCCAAGTTGATTAACTTTTCGCGTTAATTGTTACTCATTAATGGGAATCATGTTTATGAGAATAAGTTCAGACAGGGTAGGGCAGGGGAAGTGGAAATTCATCATGAAATGTGTATTATTTTTTCCTGAATAAAGAGATTAGAATAGATTGGAAAGAGAGATTCAAATGTCAGAATTGTAATGGTTTCTGTATTTGGGTGGAGTCGATGGGTGGAAATTTAATCTTCTATTGACCTGAAATATATTAAGTGTTTGTTTGTTTGTTTGTTGTTGTTTCCAAATGATGTTCGTCATCACTGATTACCTGAAATTATTTGACAGATTGACGTAAATTCAGTTAAAATCCTTGAGAGAGTAAAAGATTTTCGGGTGAAAATGATGGCCTGTGAATCAGAAATTCAGTTATCCGTGAACCTGATAACTTCCATAGAATGACAGATGATGAACAACAAGATCAAGGTGAGACTAAAGTTAACTGTAAGTTAGAGTTATCGTTAAGTTGAACATCAACATGGTGAAATCTCCCTGAGTTACACATCAAAAATCATCATTAAAATGAGACAAAAACCTTCCCATCAATTCAATATAATCAATAATCATACCATTGTTTTAGATTAATAGATAACTCTACCAACTTTACCTCATCATCAGAATGGAAAAGTTTCAATTCATATATTTACTCACAAATTCATGTCTCAATATATATCAAGAACTTTTTCTTCACCATGTATGTCAATAGATAACAATAATCAACACAATGATCAAAATAATGATCTGAATAAACTTCACTCATAACTTAGAAAATGATAGTTGATAATATTCCCAAATGAATTTGAAACTTTTTCTTTTCTCTCTTCCGTTCTCACTTTCAAACCTCACAATCGTTTTTCTCAGCAACCAAAACCATGATAAGAATTTTTTAGTTCCCCTGATTACTCTTGATCTTTTTTTTCCATTGTCCTCATGATGACACTTTTCTATTTTGTTAGTAAACTTTAAAATCTCAACTGACCAGTGTCCATGGTCGAGGTTATCACAATAGTCAAAGGGGGAAAAAAGTTCATTAAAATTTCCAAGTGAGATTAATAAACTTTCATAATTGTCGACAAATTATTATCATTTTTTTTACCTTTAATTAAATGATATGAACAAGTGACCAGATTGATTATTAAGCTTCATGATATTAATTCACTTAATCAACTAATTCCTGAAATTCTTTGGGTATAACAAATGAATATCATGTAATTTGAGATTGTTTCATGATGTATTGAGGTTACCAGAATTTCAATCAACATATTTCATGAAAGTTGTGAGTGAGTGTTTTTTTTCATCAAGTTAATTAACTAATTACTTAATTATACTGATTGTAGTATGTATTTTGATTACTTGAGCAATTAAATCAACATGAAAATGTTGAGCGACAAAATTTAATCATAAACATTTCAATTAAAGGGCAAACATAATTAAATCAACTGTTAATTTGAACAGGAGGAAGAAAAAAAAACAAACAAATTAAACATTAAATTAAATTAAACTGTTGGTTTTTCTGTCACAATTAATAGGAAAATAATTCTTGGTGATTGCTAATTTTGAGATGACACATTTTCATGATTATTTTTCATACACATGAGAAATCATCATGAGTAAACCAAACTTTACATGGGGAATTCATTGGACCCTTGAATTCAGGTACAGTAATATTTATTATTATTGCCAGTTTTGGTTGTTTACTTTTGTTAACAATTGTGAAATTGTTACTAAAATTATTGTTGATGTACATTTATTAATGTAAAAAGCTTTATGAACATACATCATGAGCGTGAATCATGTTCAAGTTTCATTATTTCATAAAATTCAGAGACAAAAAGTAGTATATGATAATTTCCAAGGCTTATGTTATATTCAAAGATGATGATTATCATTGTCTTCGTCTTCTTAATCATCTCTTGTAGCTTTGAGATTCATAAGAAAATACATATTCTATGCATCTCTTTTGATAGGATCAAAGGAGATGAAATAAAAAGTGGCAGAGTTGATGCTGAGATAAAGGTAAAGATTGTATTATTACCAAGTGATGTGATTATGTATTATTTACAATTGATGAAAAAAAGATGAAAATATTCAAGTAAATAATTGATTATTGAAGAGAGATGATGATAAATAATTCTGTTAACTCTCTCTCTCTCTCTCTCTCTTGTTATTTTTATCTTATTAAAGATAAAAAGTCAGGATCAATCAGACTTACCTTATAACCTTTTTTCATCCATTTCTCTTTCTTGCTTTTATTCATGTCTTTGCCCCTCATTCTCTTCATTGTATTATCACTCAGAGAATATCTCCTCCCATGTAGATGATGCTGGTAAGAAGATGAACATTTTCCATCATTTTCATAGTTTTTCATTATTCAGGCAAGATGAAGATGAAATAGTATTACTTTACTTGGAAAGAGAATATAAGAATTCAAAGAGATTCTTGTTGGATGATGATGATGATGATGATAGAAGATAATAAAAGGTAAGAACTGTAATACATGGAAAATCTCATAACCTGAAAACGAATGAAAAAAGGGAAGAAAATTCCTCTAATATCTGCTAACCTCTCCCAATTTTAACTCTCTCTCTCTCTCTCTCTCTCTCTCTCTCTCTGAATTATCATCATTTCTATTCAATTCATTTCAACATGGAAACATTGAATCAACATCTCACCTACATAGCTTATTGTCACTCTAGTTACCGCGAGTTTCCCTGTAAGTGAAATGTAATAACATGATAAGTATTTTCATTAATTTACTCACAATAAAGTGAATACGTTCCCAATTGAATATCATAGA